TATTGTAATTATCATAATTATAATAATTGGTTATTTTTAATTGTCTTTTTTTTCTTTTTTTTTCTTTTTGACGAAAATATTTTCTCCGTGTTCTTTTTTAATTGTAAATTCCTCCATATTTCTTTATATATTTATTTCCTATCGTATTATAAATATGATTTTTTGTGTTTGTTCTCACTTTTTGTGATATTTGATATTTTACCAGTTTTCGTGATATGATCCTTTTATTAGTTTGATTAATGTTACATTTTATTATTTATTTCCAAAATCCAATATTTTCCAGGTCATTAACTTGGAATCGAAAATATTATACGAATTTGATAGTATTTGATGACGTGCACTATATGAAACTCATATTTTAAACATGTAAATAATTAGAAAGCATAGGAATGTGTCCCAAAAAAAAATTTAAATGTAATAAATTCATTCTCTTTAAGAATCATAATAATAAATATTTCATGATGTTATTTTATTAATCTTACATTTTTGACATACTGGACTGAATCAATTTTTTTGACCGATGTATCACATTATTATTTTATATATTTAACGGAAAAAATTATTAAATTTGTATGGTAACTTTATAATTATGATTATGATTTGCAACTATTAAACTATTGATTTTTTTTTTTTTGGTAGTTTGTAAGTTGCTAAAATAACATAATATAAAATTTTGGAACTTTCATCACCGTTTCCTTCATAAAGAGCATTTATTTTTTTCTTTCAATGAAAAATCATTCTTTGTAAATGGTAGATCATTGCAGTATTTACAAATTTCACGAAATTATTATATACAAAAAAATTTATTATGAGATTTTACTATGAAAACGAATTGTATTTAATTTAATTTAATATTTTTTCTTTTTATTAAATCTATTTTTTTCCGATATAAATTCTTTATATTTTTTTCTTGTAGAAATTTTAATTTTAAAATGTCGGAAGAATCATCTAAAAATCAGGCAAATAATAATAATAATAACCGTATTGATAATGATGATAATAATAAATTATTGTCCAAGGATATAAAGCCAACTAAGCGTAAATTTTCTTATCAAACGATAGCGAACATATTTAATGATTATTCAATAGAGCAAGCGTCTTCACAAAATAAAAATAAAAATAGTAATAATAAACATAGCAATGTTAATAATGGCGATCATCAATTAAAAAGACGTCCAAGTGCACTTGTACGTCCTGAAAGACATAGACCTCGTCCAACTATAATCAATAGTAATAATCACAAACGATATACCGAAGAGAAATCAAGTAAAGATAAAGCTCAAAATCGATCAACTTCCGTCAAGTATAATTATGATAAATATGCAAGTTATACTTGGTGGGAATTGTTTGCTTTAATCATTACGGTTTGGGTACCAGATACTTTACTAAAAAGAATTGGTCAAATGAATCACCCTTTAACAAGACAAGCTTGGAGAGAAAAGGTAGCAATATTCGAATAATTAGAATGACTTACAATTTATAAATTAATAATGATAATTAGAATAACCTATAATAATTTCTCTTTTTAAAAAAGGTAACTTTATGTATTATAATCTTGACGCTATGCTTTTTTCTTGGATTATTATCATTCGCGCTACGACCTTTACTTTGCAAAGATGATGCATCAAGTAGTCGTCTTGCATTTTCAGAAAGGTCTGGAACTGACAATGAACTTGTAAAAGTGTATAGAGATGATATAGTAGTTTATGGTGGAATATATAAATTTCCTACAATGAAAAGTTTCATGTCAACAAAAAATATTCAATTAAGCGATAATTTCAAAGGATCGGATTTAAGTAATCTTTTCGATAATACAAAAGGTTTATGCCAAAGTTTTGACAAATCTAGTAACAATACAGTCAATTGTGAAGTTCCACTTCTAAACGCTACGAGTTGTATTTTAATCAGTGATCTAGAAAGATATACTAGACCTGATGTTGGGATATTAGCTTTTGAGTGGGAGGATCTTGTGCCCAATAGTGTCGATATAAATGCTTCATATTTTGTATATAATGGTTTAGGTAATAATTTAGATTCGAAAAATTTATAATAATTTTTTTTTTTACATCATTTAACTCATTATTCATTACTACTTACTAATACACACCCATCATATGTTTATTATTGATAGTGTTCAACCTGGATCAGTATTTTTCTAATTTAGACGTAAACCATTCAATAAAAAAATATCTTGGAGATAAAACACACGAAATATTAACTGAAAGTTTAGGAAAAGATGCCACATTATTAATAACAAATCATTTAAACGTTAATAATGAATTGAAATGTGTATTCCAAAGATATAAAGCTGGTGTTTTATCCACACAACCCGCCGGATGTATGGCAGCTGATCTTATAATATTCACCACCACATCAATAGTGGTACTTGTTGTAGTAATAAGATTTGTGATGGCTGTTGTGTTTCAATGGTTTATTGCAGATAGATTGACATTTGTTAGAAAGAAGGAGAATGGAACGGTAGTGATAAAAGGCAAATCTCCTTATGTGATTCTACTAGTTACTTGTTATTCCGAGGGCAGAAAAGCAATAAAATCTACTTTAGACAGTTTGGCAGCTACAAGTTATAATGATAAACACAAGGTATAGAAAATAAAAAATTTTCATCGTTTATTTATTTATTTTTGTATGTTTTGAAATTTCTGGCGAATTGACAAGTTGATTATTATTATATTATATAAATTTTAGTTGTTTTTTATAGTGACAGATGGAGTTGTAAGAGGAGAAGGAAATAAAAAAACTACACCTGAAATATGTCAAAAATTGTTAGATATACCAACAGGTTTAGATGATCCATTACCATGTTCTTATATGTCAATTGGTAGAGGCGAAAAAAAAATAAATAGAGCAAAAGTGGTTTGTAATTTAAATATATATATAAACTTAAGTTTACACAACTTTTTTTCTAATTGATGAAACAAAATTTAACAACAACAGTATGCAGGACATTACAACCAAAATGATCGTCGTACACCAGCGATTCTTGTGGTTAAAGTTGGCAATAGAAAAGAATCAAATTCTACCAAAGCTGGCAATCGTGGTAAACGTGATTCACAGGTGAATTATATATATAACTTTTTTTATTATAATAAAAAAGAAGTTAAAATACATAGCATTGTATATTAATATTAAAAACTTATAGGTGATACTGATGACTCATTTTCAAAGAGTATTTACAAATGACCATTTCACTGAATTAGATTATGAATTATATTGGAAAATTTATTTTCTCATGGGGATAACTTCCGATGTGTTTGAATTGGTAATGATGGTAGACGCTGACACCAAGGTTTCCGAGTCGTCGCTAGCTTACCTTGTTTCAGCCATGAAAAAAGATCCCATGATAATGGGTTGTTGTGGTGAAACTAGGATAGCAAACAAAACTAGTAGTTGGGTATCAGCTATACAAGTTTTTGAGTATTATGTATCACATCATTATGGTAAAGCGTTTGAAGCAGTATTCGGTGGTGTCACTTGTCTACCAGGTTGCTTCAGCATGTTTAGGCTTAAAGCTCCAAAAGATGGTGTTTGGATACCTATAATAAGTAGCCCACACTTAGTTGCCGAGTATCAACAAAACTCTGTTATAACTTTACACGAAAAGAATCTTTTGTTACTAGGAGAAGATCGATATTTGTCTACCCTGATGTTCAAAAGCTTTCCTCATCGAAAAATGATGTTCATTCCACAAGCAGTATGTTATACCACTGTACCAGACACCATGAAGGTATTGATGTCTCAACGACGTAGATGGATAAATTCCACAGTTCATAATCTATTGGAATTGTTATTTGTTAGTGATTTGTGTGGTATTGCTTGTTTGTCGATGCAATTTATAGTTTTTTTGGAATTGATCGGTACTGCTATGTTACCAAGTGCGATACTGTATGCATTCTACATAATTTTTAATGCTTTAATAGTGGGAAAAATTGACATCTTTGTAATTATATTGGTGGCTTTGATTATTGGATTGCCAGGTTTGTTAATTATAATAACAGCACAAAAGATTGTTTATATCGGTTGGATGTTTGGTAAGTGAAAAAATTATTTTGTTAATTTGATGTTAAAAAAAATTACATATATAGTCAAACCTTGCCGTAACGGATGCATAGGTCAAACATTTAAAATCCGTTATGCCTAGTGATGGGTTATTACCGTGGTAAAAAAAAGAATTGGAATAGTTACCATGGTAAATACCCAAGATTACTCTACATATATAAAATTAGATGATGATAAATGCTTAAAATCTTTGATATCAAAAAGTGTGCTTTGAGTAATCACTATCACTAGTTATGCCAAAATCATAACGGATTTTATATGTGAAAAGTATCCGTTATAGCGCGAATTTAATTTAAATTTAATTAATTATATTATTCTTTTTCTAGTATATTTAATCACACTACCCATTTGGAATTTATTATTGCCAGTTTATGCATATTGGCATTTCGATGATTTTTCATGGGGCGAAACTCGTAAAGTTTCCGAGGAGAAAATTTCTGATGAGTCGACTAGTAATAAAGGATCTCTTGATCAAAGTAAAGTAATCTTGAAATTGTTGCAAGGATGGGAATATGAACAACGAAAATTGCATAGTTGCTTCGTTTATCGAGAAATGGGTTTTGAACCTGGTAATAATAATAATAGTAATAAATCACCAGGAGAGACAACAAGGAATAATAATAATAAAGCAAGTACAAATCAACAAAAAAACGTGTCATCTAACAGCAAAAACAATAAAAGCAATAATGATAATAAAAATAATAACGATCCCAATAAGTCAAAAAAAAAGGAAACCGAAAGACAAGAAAAGCGACAAGGAATTATGGTCGATAGAAATAATATTTAACGCGTTTATATAAAATTTAGATTTTATTTTTATAAAATACATATATACTTTTTTTAAAATAGCATGTATGATATATATATATAGACAGATAAATTAATTATTAAATATAATAACAAAAAATCAAATTTTATTAATACTAAGATTTTAATTTGTTGGCAATATCTAACGTGGTTAAAATATAATTCTCCCAAGTTTCTGGATCTTCCAAATATTTATTTATTTCATTTATTTCGGAATTATTAGGTGGTATTAAATTTTTATCTGAACCATTGCTTTCATTATTTTCTTCCGAAGATTTGTTATTTAATTCATTGACTATCGGCTGTTCCGTCTGCTCCACTTGTTCCTTCACCGATTGTTCCTGCCCCGCCAATTGTTGCACCTCTTGACTATCACGATTATTTTGTTCTATTATTAATGATGATGGTTTATAAAGCAACTAATTTTATGTATGTATGTATGTATTATTATTAGTTTATAACCCTGACAATAAAAATCTTAACCCAATAATAATAATAATAACAACAACAACAACAATGCACTTACTCTAAGTTCTGTTCTAGCAAGATCAGACTCTTTCTCGAAAATTTTTCTTGTTGACAGGATAAAACCTTTATAATCATAATAGTCAATGATATTTATTGAAGCTCGTTCCAACTCATATGGAATAGTTACCTTGTTATCATTGTCACGATTTAAAGTAATAAAATATTTTTTTGGACATGAAATATTTTGTAAACTGATTTATTTTTTAAAAAAAATTTTTGAAATGATTTTTTTAATAATTTATTATTAATAATAATATTCATATATAAAACTTATTGATTTTAGATTGCTTCATACCTTTTTAATTTACATTGATTAGAAAATTCTGTAACATCTTGAAATCCAAGTAGAGAATTATTCAAAGCTGATACAAGTCGAAAATCTTTTAAGCTATACGTAAAAGTTTATTATTCGTAATGATTTCATAATTAACAAGAATGCATCTTGTCAATATAATATTAAAAAAATATTCGTACCGATCCATCATTAATGTGTCCATAAAAAGACGTCTTCTAGACATAATGAAATCCTTGATTTTCAAATCATCATCAACAACGTCAAATAGTACGCTCAGTCTATGGGTTGCCACATAAGATAAAGATTGATTGGATATTTCGGATGGTGCATAATCTAGCTGTACGGTTGTTTGATTTTTTGTTAATTTATTCAACGATTCCAAGAAATCTGTATGAGGATAACTTTGAAATATAAATATAAAATAATCATTGCCAAATTAATGTTAATGTTAATAATAATAATAATAATAATAATAATAATAATAATAATAATAATAATAATAATAATAATAATTCCATAATTACCTTGGAAGAAATATTTTTGTAGGATTTTTTTGTGAAACCCATTCCTGAAATCTTGAAATATTAAAGGACTCAGATATTGGTGGCATAAATAAATTATTATTGTTGTGATTTGAATTTTCATGGAATAATATATATCCAAAACTATTCAATGACAAAAGAATTTTTAATTTCAATTTGTAATTAAATTTTTTTTTCAAATAAAGAACCTTACATTGCATATAACTCAAGTCGTGAATTTGAAGTCGAACCTTCTTTCATATAGCTTCTAAAAAATTCACCCAATTTTTTAAAGCTGGTGATTTTTGATTCTTCATTATTATTATTTGAATTAAGTGTTGCCCATAAAGGTTCTTTTAAAAATCTGAATAAAACAAATAAAAATTAATATATATGTATATATATATTCGAAATACAATTGCAAAAATCAAATAATTAACATTTCATGCCTTTCATTTTCATATAAGATGCTTAATTTAGAATCTAATAAATCTTGGTCGTCTAATATAAACTCATCATCACCCTACCATAAATCAATGCTTCAGTCTATGATTTGGTAAACACAAATGTTCATATCAAACTGTATCAAGTTGTAAAAATTTTTTGAACAATCTTCATTCAAAACCATGCCACACTCATATTTACCTTAATTTTAGTTTTATCAACACGATACCAATTCATATTTCTATGGTAATTTGGTATCGGATCATCGTCATGAATAGGTAGAAATAAATGCTCGGATAATTTATCGTTACTCGGATTAATTAATACAACTTGTGCTTCACTTTGATCTGGCTATAATATTATTATTATCGTTAGGAATTATTATTATACAATGAATGCTTTAAAAGATTATAGTTTGCAAAATATAATTGATTACCTTTTTCCAAGCAATATTCAGTAATCTATTGGCTTCTGATATATTAATATCATTTCGACCATATATAATTAACTTTAATTCCAGTTTACCAAAGAAGAAAAAATAATATATTTTTTCCCATTTTTTAAATAATTTTATGGAAATAAGATAATCAATTCCGTAATTGTTAGTTAAATAAGTAATCCAACCTGGTTATTTTTATTAAGTTCAATATATGTTTGAGTTACTTCACAAATATCTTGTATGTATGGTATTTCATCCAAGCTTTTAATTGAGTTTTTGATATTCTCGGGAAGTTTTAAGGTTAAATTTTTATATTCCTATTTTTCCATTATTAAATTTTCCCCCAGTTGAAAAACAAAACATTAATATTATTTATAAGAATATAGATTATAAATATATAAAGCATGATGAATGATTTATATAATTTTAACTCATTACAATCTAGATATACCGTTATTCCTTTAATTTCTTCTTTAACTTTTAAAATATTGTTTTTTGTGCCATATATTGTGTAAGAATGTGGATTAGTATTGACATTGATTTTGGTGTCAGTTCCCTTTTCTAGTTGATCTAGAGTAACTCCATCTATTAAAAAAAAATCCTAATGTAAATAATCATGTATTTACTAAATACATAAAACTTGGAATTAAAAAAACATTGATGATTTAACCTTGCCCAAGAATAAAATAAATATCAACAGGATTTGATATCACATCTTTGATGATCCGATAATTTAGAAAATTAATATAAATATATAAATATGAAAAATATTTATAGAAATTCGTATAAACTAACCTTCTTTTATAATGCATAGCGATGGATCAGGAATAAGTTTTTTGATTTGCCAGATATGTTCAATTACTCTTTCTATCAATTTTTCTTTAGTTCCTCCCGCACTTTGTTGATTAGCTCTCAAATAATTTGAAAAATGTGAAACCAAAAATGAACGATTAAGTTTTTCTGCTAATATTTGAAAACTTTTACTTTCTAATTCTTTAACGTTTGGTCGAAATTGTTCAATATCTTGCCATGACGCTGCACACTCTACCTTTTCTGTCATCAAATCTTTTGCTAATGTTTTCTTTTCTGCCCAAAGAGTCTTTAACAATTCATCTGACAATTTTTCTAATTTATCGATAGTCATTAATTCTTGCCTTTTCTTAACAGGCTTCTTTGTAAGTTCTTTTTTTGATATTTTCTTTGGACTATTACTACTTTTTGAAGTTGCTGCAGTTTTTTTCGTGCCAATAGCATAATTATGACTTAATATGAAAATTTGAGATATGGGATTTATACTTGTTGATCGATCATGTAATAAAAAATGTCGTGAATAAAATGGCAAATGACAATATTTGCCTGCTCGTAAAGTAGAAATCATTGAAAAAAAATATAAATTTATTTATAAAGAAAAAAAGTGTAAAAAAGATTATCAAAATAAAATTGTATGCAGATCAAAGACTTTTATAGAAAACCATTTATTTTTAAAAAAAAAAACGTTCAAAAAAACTTTTTTCAAAATAAATAATGCCTCCAAAAACAAGAAGAAAAGGCGACACATTAAAACTCCCAACTTCATTTAAAGAAGAATTAAAGCAAAATAGTGAGAAGAATAATTAATCGTTTTCAAGCTTGATTAGATCCTCAAAAAGGTTCAACTAATCAATTAGTTGTTTATTTATATATATGCAGTCAATGAATTTGGCAAAAAAAGACCCCAAAAACGGTTCAAAAACCGTATACAAGAACGAAAAGAAAAAAGAAAACAAGATCGTTTAATGAAGAAAAGGAAAAAATCAATGAATTTTAAGGTACATGAATTTGATCAGCTTTATGGATTCTTTCTAATTTTATATGAATAAAGGTTGATTCTTAAAATTACAAAGTTAGGAGAGGAGAAAGAAAAAGAAGAAATAAATCAACCAAAAAAAAACCAATTATCAAAAAAATTAAATAATCAATTAAGTAACCAACCAACCAACCAATCAGCTAACCAACAAAAAAGCCAACAAAAAAGCCAGCAAAAAAACCAATTGCCAAAAAATCAATCAGCAAACCAACCAATTGTTCAATCATCAAAAAAATTGGCAAACAGACCAACAAAACGACAAAAGACTGATGATAATCAAGCATTGTTAATAGAGGATGATGATGATGATGATGATGATAATTTCCAAACTAATAATAATAAAAGAAAGATAGAAGAGTCTTCAAATGTAAACATAGCTAGATTATCATCAACAGTTAATCATGATGATGATGATGATGATGATGATGATGATGATGATGATGATGATGATGATGAATATGACTGGGAAATAAAAAGATTAGAAAAAAAATTAGGATTCAAACCAGGTGGAAAACTACCCAAAGCATTTATTGATGATGGGTTAGATGAGTTATTGGATGGAATTAAATTAGGATTTGAGTTACCTTGTAAAGACATTAGTGATGAAGTAAGTTTTGTTAAATTGATTTAATTAAAAAAATGGTTATCAGGTGAATAAATGAGTGTTTAAATTAATTAATAAATTTATTTTTTAGAAAAAAGATTTTGATGATAATGAGGAGGATTCTGGGGAAGAATTAGTCAGCCAAGACAATTATGATAATGATGATAAACCTGAAGAAATAAGTTATAATAAAAAATATAGAGGGTCAAAAAGAAAGAAATTCAGCAAATAAAAGTTATATTATTATTATTGCAATGATTTATTATATTAAAATGTTGAAATTATTATAAAAAATGTAATGATAATTATATGCAATTGTCTAGTTGATAAAAGTATTTATAAATTTTTTCTAAATGGAATATATTTAATCTTAATTTTTACTTGTCAATCACCATACATTTGTATTACTTACTGAAGCAAATTTACCCATTTTAATCTTCATAACCATCAGTTATTTATGATCAGTATCCTTGTAACTTCTTTCATTATCAATATAATGATGGCTTCAGGTATTAATTAGCATTCATTTACAAATCAAAGTTGAAAATCAGATGAATAATTAAAAAATGGGCATTTCAATTTATCATATAATAATGAGAATGAGAATGGTGATGGTGATAATGGTAATGATGGTGATGGTGATGGTAATAATTATTGGAATTGAAAGTTGCATGATATTATTTAATTTGGTTAGCCAGATGAAGAAAATGCAAATTTTTGTTTGCCTTTTCAACTATCTAGTGCAGGCAGTTCTCTTCAATAAATAATTACTTTATAAAACCTGTAGAAGAATATGGAGAACATCATATTAAAATAGCTCCAGGTGTAACCTTTTTAATTTGTCTTGATTTCAGTAAGCATTTTCTTATTCATTGACTTGCTTAATAAACAAAATGACCATTTATATTACTGGATTTATTCATATTTTTGCTAATCATCAAATGAGCCAATACTTTTTTTAGGGATGTGTATGTGACCAAAAATATTCTAGTTGATATATACCATTATAGTTTCAATAATATCAGAACAATTATTTATACTGCATAGGAGTTTGTGTAATTTACTTGTGTTTTGTGTTTTAAATTTATATGAAATATATATTTTATTTTATTTTTTTTTTAAGATTATGAAATAACATTATTCTGATGAATCATAGAGCAATTAAAAATATACATTTTACAGTCAGGCCTCCATAAATGCACACTATGTCTTGGTCCCAACCTCAGGACTTGGAGATAAATACACACCCTTCATATTATTCATCAATGTTCATGACTTGTGATGGTATAATGCTTGGGTCTGAAATTTCAATGAAAATTTCAATAGTGTTGATATTAATATCAAATTGTCTTCCACTAATGTGTTGAATAAATAGATTAAAATGTATCTCATTTAGGCTTGAGAAGAATGTGATGTTTGCCTCCACTGTCACTAATTGTTCAATATTTGTGATAATGTTATTGTCAACAAGTAAACATCTCTCCATCTTCCTTTGTATATGTTTCAGTAAAACCAGTACTAATATTTTTAACAGTAATGGTATTTGTATTCACCAAAATTTCAGTGTTTGTCAATGAATGTTTAAATGGTGCATTGAGACTCATTTTAGATTTTAATCAATAGAATTGGTAATGCATGATACTTTTTCTTTCATCTCTTTTCATTATTGTAAGTATGTTTGAGATATTTCACTGATTTTGCCTTGAATTGTTTTCTTGTTATTGTCAACATCATTATTTAAATAATAATTATATAGATATTGGTAAATCTTTTTTAAATTTAAAAACAATTTCATGTGATATTCCATCAATTTTCATCATTTGTATTCCCATTTGTTTAGAGAGCTTTCAATATTATTTATCTGAGCCATATCAAATTCTTGTGTAATAAATCATTAAAGCTGATATCATAATTGATTGTGACAAGAGTATTTGCTGTCTACTTTTTTTTTACAGAGCTTGTAATGATCTTCCATTTAGATGATTTAATGTATATCAAAATAAAATTAGACTTTTGCCATTAAGTTTATCATCATTGTTATCATCATCATCATCCTGATCACTTTGATTCCTGGATAAAAAAATAAAACAATATTTAGATAATAATAGATTAGTTATTGTGAATAATATTTTATGCCCACTTACTTTTATGTTTGTTTTTTGTTTTTTTTGTTTTTTGTTGGTTTATGTTTGTTTTTGCGAATTTGTTTTGCAAATATTTCCACTATGTAAGAATAATACCCACATTATTACCATTTTTGGAAATAATTTACAAGATCATTACAAAACAAATCCTAATTAAGAAATGATATTCGATTTTGAAGGCCATTTCTACCCCAAATTGAAATGTACCATTTTCTAAGATTGTTCGGGGTCATATTGGAAAGCAGCTGAATTTTTTATACTTCTATTTAAGGCTTATATTTAAGTGAAAATTTACAATAGTTTTTTTTTGTTATTTGTGTTCTTATAAAGATTCGCATTAATGTGATTGATTGTAATCACACATTGGATAGGTCCTGTAATTTTTGACGTTTGATTTACTTCAGGCTTTTTATGGAAACAAGTTGGTTTTTCAATAAATTAATTATGGTGAATAATACATACTTGCTCTTTTTATTAACGATTTCAAACTGATTAAATATATATATTATTTCTTTTCATCCATAGATTGTGAAAGAGGGATTTCTCATCAATATAAGATGAGGGAGAGATTCATCAAATATGGAAACTTTAGATATACTGTTCTCATGTTTAAATCTAGTTGCTTTTAAATTTTTAGAGAATTCAGTAAATTAATTAATTAATGAGGGAACTTCAAATTGCTCACTAATTTGAAACATAAAAGACATCAAAAAATATATGAAACTATTTCAAATTAATTGTATTTTATTAAAAAAAAAATCAATATCATGTCAGCTTTCCTCTATTTTTTTAAAACAGCATCAACCCTTCATGGCACATTATCTATTAATTTATTAATTGTCTCTGAATTAGTATTAAACCATTTCTCTTTCAATACATTAAATTTTTTAATTTTAATTACACATCTAAACTCGATAAGTTGGGCATTTATTTATATTATAAACAATTGATTAGTGCATCTGACTTATTGAATTTAGATGTGTAATAATTTTTTTAAATCCTGCTAAAACTTATTGAGACCTGGACTTTGAGCAGGCCAGGTTGGGAGAAACCACAATGTTATAATCTTCTTTCCATATGTCTTGCTGTAGTTGATTTATGACATGATGCATTATTTCTCAATACACCATTACCATCACCATATTCACTTAATTCATTAATAAAAGGTAGCCTTATGATTGCAATTTAACAAATTTTTTCAAAATTAAAAAAATTCAATCTGTTTAATAGTTTTGTCCAATAAATTGAGAAATAATATGGTAAACTTCATGGAATTCTATAAATAAATAGATTCAAACACGAGACACATTCTTCACTTATACCACAAAGGTCATTAGAACTTGTTATTGTGGTCAATTTTTGAGGTAAAGATTTTTTAAAAAATTCATTTTTATTTTTACACTATTTGATATGAAAATATTTTGACTTTTTAAAATAAAAAAAAACAGTAAAACCAGCCTAACCAAAGAATGACCCAAAAAAGTAAATCAGAGTTTCACTGATTTCTTAAGAATAGGACAAGGACAATGACAATGACAACAAGCTCACAACTGAGAACACAATGTGAGCTTTTGCTTTTTGTGTCACAAAACACACACACTGTTCTATATAGTGTTCCATGTTGCAATCCAAAAAAGGAAACAAAATGGTTGTAAAGGTGGTTGCAACCAGCAGTTGCAATCATTT